CTTTCTGCTGTAATCTGCAGCTCTCTCCCCTGTGAGGGGGTGGGAGAACACAGCTCATTCATCTCATAAAGCTGCAAAAAATGAAAAGCACTGGGTAAAGCCCGTTGGGTCTTTTCTAAGTAACGTCTTGGCTTCATCGCTGGGGCTCTCGCTCTGGATTTAACCAGTATTTAGGGTCATCCCCACATTTAGGGAGTGTGTGAAGAAGGTTGGTAGAAAAGAAAGGTGCCAGGGCTTGTTTGCAGGGTGAGGGGAGACTTTATCCCTCTCTGAAACTGCCTGAAAGGAAGTTGTAACCAGGTGGGGGTCAGCCTCTTCTCCCAAGTGACAAGCTATAGGACAAGAGGAAATGGCCTCAGGTTGCTTCAGGGGAGGTTTAGGATGGATATTAGGAAAAATCTCTTCACCAAAAGGGCTATCAAGCATTGGAACAGGCTGCCCAGAGCAGTGGTGGAGTCACTATACCTGGAGGCATTTAAGAGATTAGTAGATGTGGTGCTGAGGGACATGGTTTAGTGGTGGACTTGGCAGTGTTGGGTTAATGGTTGGACTCAATGCTCTTAAAGGTCCCTTCCAACCTAGATGATTCTATGGTTTTCTCTTCTAGTACAAGTAAATGGTGAATAATCAATAAAATTGGTAGGTGACAGCTTCAAAACAGGTACTTGAAGGAGAGATCGCTGTGTACTTGTGTGGTTCTTCCTCTCTTTCCTTTGTGCCTTCTGGTCTGTGAAGACTTGGAGGTACGGGAAGAACCAGAGTCGTAATCAGTTGTTTTCCTAGCAGTCAGCACACAAATCAGCCCACACAAGCTAAATCCATCCATGGCAGCCTTTGGCTGATAAGAGTGCCTTTAAGAGCAGGGTTTAAGCCAATTGTGGTGTAATCGGGTTAAACAGGCCCGGCTTCAGACCAGGCCTCTGCATCTTCATTCATGAATTAATGAGAAATGCAGCTGCTTTGCAGCAAGGAAAGCAAGAAACCCTCAGCATCTAGTCCCCAAAACTCAAAGCAAAGGGAGCTTGTCAGGGAATTCTCTTTTTGGTTTTCAATTTGGGAACAGATCAAAGCTCTGCTCTTTCTTCGAGAGCTGCACGTTAGTGAAAGGAGCATTTATTTGAGACGTGTTGTTACAGCAACTGAACAGGAGCCCAGGAATAATGATTCCTCCACCTCCCATGGGTAAATAATTCCCTGTTTCTGAGCTTTTTCCTGGGGAGCAACAGCAGGAGTGTCTGGAAAGTGCCTTTAGGGCTGGTTGTGCTGGTGAGTATTTGCTACCCTCCTGCTACCCCCAGCAGGTCCTGGCTGAGGTCCCACACCGATTCACACTCATCCAGCAGGCAACTCCCAATTGCACTGGTCTCAGAAGACATAAAAAATGTGCAGGGGTCTTGCCCCCCTTTGCCAGCTGTCCCCCCTCTCAGCAGGAGCCCCTCAGTAATTTTCCAAATCCCGCGCCCCCGTTTGGAAAAATATAATGATGAAAATAAAAGCCCACGATTGAATTTTCTGCCTCCTGGGGGGAAATCAGATATGAAATAATAAATATATATTATATTCTCCAGGCAAAACCCTGCTGGTCACTAATACCTACAGATTAGTTGTACTAATCCAGTGTGATCAGGGGGAGATGGTTGGCTACTTGGCCCTGTTTTGGTCCCTCGCTTATGAAACTCCATCTCCGTGTTTGAAAGAAAAGTCTTTACATAACAGTAATCACTCAGATAAGAAAAGGACTAAACTGTCCCGAAACATTTTATCTTCTGCACAGATGCTGCCTATGAATTTTGACTTGATTAAATAACACGGCAACATAATATTTTGTTCTGAATAACAAACCTCCCTCTGTAGGAGGGAAGGAGCCCGTCTGCTCCCTCGGCCGGCTCTTGGGTGCAAGCAGAAATGGGGACTGAGGGAGGCTGGAGGATCCAGCAATTCACCTGGTCTGGGAGAGTTGCTCAGAAAATAGCTAAGGGACACTGGGAAGAAACACCCTTTGTGTCACCAAATGTCCCTACAGCCCCTGCTCTATCCTGGAACAGATTGGCTGGTGGTGGCTAAAACCCCCATGGACCGATAGGGATGTCTCCCTCCGACCCCCTCTTCCCCTTTGCAGCCCATGGAGATGTGCCCAGGAGAGACAATGAAGTCCTGGAGTTTCATCCCAGACTGGATGTCTAAATAGGGCAGAAAAATCACTTTCTCCACCTCTCTGTGTTTCTCTTTTGATTTTAAATGGGGGATGACCCGCTCAGATGTTTATATCTGCGCTGCAGAGACAGGAATTCAGGTGAGATCAAGCCAGCTCCAGAGCGTGGTGCACCTGCAACCAGTGAGATAGGGAAAAATAGATATATTCCTAATTTGTTTTATTTTCTCACTTGACATGGGGATTATTTGCAGATGAGAGACTTTGTTAGATATAGAATTTATCATTATTCACCCCACAGCGGCCAAACTTTTCTAGAAAGCCAAGCACTGCTCATACCCACAGAGCTGCTCCTGCTCCCCGACGGCGAGTCCAGCCGGGCCATGCTCACCATCTACAGCTCGTCCTCCCAGGTCTTGTCAGAAAAATGCTCTGTCAAAGGCTTTTGTTCTCGTACCCGTGCTCCAGTAACACAATCTGTTACTCACCGCTCGTAATCCCCCTGGTTGGAAAAGCAGTCACCTAATCAGGGCAGAAGTTCTGCCACGTGATGTGCGTAGCTGCCTTTCAACCATCCCCAGCTCCAGTTTGTTTCCATGCAGCGGGATTATTAGCAAGACCTAACGCGAGGTAAAGAAATGGGGATCAGTTGGGAAAAGGGGAGCTGGATAATTTATTCCTCGCTGTCATTTAACCCTTGGGAGACAATCCCCCAACAAATGACGAGGTGGGAACGAGTGGTCAGCGAGGGCTGAGCCCTCCCACCGACTCCTGCCACTTTGGCTCTCAGAAATAGGGCAGAAATGTGCAAAGATTACTGGAGCAAGAACATCTTGCACAAAAAAAATTGAAAGAAAAAAAGAAAAAGCCTGAAAGGATACAAAGCCTTCGCGAAACATCAGTCTTATTTCTTATTTATTTTTTTTGTCAGAGTTATGTTTATGGTTGGACTAGATGATCTTTGAGGTCCCTTCCAACCTTGATGATTCTACGATTCCACCATGGCCTGTTTTCCAGTGAATGATTTAATTCCCTGCTTTTCACGTAGTAGTTTAGTCTCCTGTTGTCACGCTCTGTCCTCATTCTACTTATTTAAGGGTGGTGAATTTACCACCAGTGGTAGGGCTCCTCTCTGGTGTGAAACCTCTGGTGGGTCACCAGCACCGACTTCTTATTGAACTCCTTCCTGCAGGTGTCACAGTGGAAGATTGGTTGTGTGAACCTCATGGAGCTCCTGTGCCTTGGCAGGTGCCCATTTATTTCTCTAGAGATTTTGTGTCTGTGATGGCCTGGTCCCATGTGGTGCTCCCTGGTTGCATCTCTTTGGCCCTGGATGGGATGAAGATAGCTAAGGTGGTGATGGAAAGTAAATATTTGTTCTCCATGGAGGCTGCTAGTCAAAAGTGGACAGATAAAGCGTGTGTAGAAGTATGTGATACTGAGTGGCCTGTTGGCCACCCAGTTTTCACCCTGGTCTTTTTCCTCTCTTCACTCCCCATCTGTGGTGACACCAGGCTCCTTGCAGCCTGGGATTCTCAAAGAAGTTCTCATGGGAACTGTCATGTTTTTAAAGGGCAAGTAAACATCCCAAGGCACTTATGTTGGAGGAGATGTTTGCTCTGGCTCCAAAGACCCTCTCATTCCCACCATACCAGAACGTGCTGAGCACCAATCTGCCCTACTCATCCCATGGAGGCACAGAATACACAATCTTGCGCAAGTGTTCCCCAACACAGCCCATCTCCATCTCTGTTCCAGACAGGCCATGATGAATGCTTGAGGCAGAACTGATGCTGAGATGATACACACAGATAGTCAATGAGTCAACAAAGTGATTGAAAAAAGTCCCACAGCCAAATTCCCCCTGAAATCCACAGAAACAATGTGCATGGCTAGAAATAGGACAGCAATTGTCTCAAGACAAGCCCTTACCTGACCCACCGTCCGAGAACAGAAGATTTCTATATAGAAGTCATCAGAGCTTGGATGTCTCTTCATTAATATAATTTTCACTTTGATTTAACTCCTTTGGTTTTTACTGTATAGACCTGAAGGCAAAATCAGACCCTGTGGGCATCCTTTTCACTTGGTGACTGAGACTGGTCAGTGAATGCTTATTGATGTGTTTTTCTGCGTAAAATCTGTGCAGTGGAGAATGGGGCAACAATTTGCTTTTTAAGTAAATTATTATAATAATTATTATTAGCAAATTTATTATTATCTGGGAGCCCTTTTAATGGGTTTAGAGAGAAAAAGACGAAAGCTATTTTGCTATTGGGGAAGTAAGGATTTGGCTTTGTTCAGTCCCCAGATAAATCCATTTTGTCTCTAGGAGCTGGGATTATTCTGTGGTCCTGATCCAAACCCAACACAGACATCAGCAGAAGACACCAGAGCTGGCAGCCCAAACTATCTGCAAGGCACTTCTTTGGAGGTGCTGTTGAGGAAACCACAGTGTAATGTCCCAGGCAGATCCTGGCAGTACCCAAGGAAGGCTCCCTTTGTACTTTGAGCATTGTTTTCCTACAGGTGGGACACTGATGGTGGAGTTTAGCTCACTGTACCTACGTGTGGGTCACTGGCTGGAGCCCTGGGGTCAGTATGTGGTGCTCTGAGCTCTCAGCACAGTAGGTGGAGAGCTGGTCAACACAGTCAGCAGAGTGTGACGGGTTCTTCACCAACCACATTCATTTGGTTACCATTGGTATGCATCTTGCTCTGACTTTGTTCACCTGCTACACTGTGGACAGAATGTACTGTGGTTCTCTCACCATTTGCTTATGAAAAAAAGAAACCCAACCAGAAAAGAGGCTCACTTTGTTTCCTTTTTTTTCTTTAAATACTTTATTGAGGAGATACTACAAATTATCAGCCCTGATTTTCCCCAGAAGCTGGGGCATCCACACTGACCACGGTCAATGTTGGGAGATCCAGTGATGTCTGGGAAAGCTACTGACATTGACTCACTGCACTCTCTATGTGCAGGGACACAATAATAAAACGGGCAAACTACTTCTTCCTGGTAAAAATCTCTACAGCCCTTCACTAGGCTAATGAAAAGGAAATAAATACCAGCCATCAGGTGATTGTTTTCTCCCCACTGAAGGGCTCTGCTCTACCTCTGTCCCTCAGCAAGCCTAACAGAGGCTGTTTTCATTTGCTGGTTTGGCTCACCCATGTTCTTCCCAAGGAACATGGTTTCCCAGTCCCACAGTGAAGCATCTACTCACCATATGGCCCAGACTCATTTTTCTAACAAGGGTGTCCCTTAGACTCCCCTAGAACATCCTAAACGTGTTGTTTTCCCCTAGATGTCTGCCTTTTCTGCTCCAGAAGCCAATCTGGGAGCCTGGTTTGGGGGATTCAAGGCTTAAAACCCTGGTCTGGCTGGCAGTAGTTTCTCCCAATACCACCCAGTTGACTAGGGACCTTCATCCCAGTAGGATCAAGGTGTTGATCAAAGCTACATGAGGGGGAAGTAGGAGCGGGCCCTTGCTTTAAACCTTTGCCTAAGTGGGAGAGGTCCCCTTCAACTTTCTCAGAAACACAGTAATACAATAAAAACAAATCCTACCCAGTCCTCCTGGCTTAATATTGCCCACACAAGACAATTTTGGCATCCACAACTTTGGCAGGCTTTAGAGGCACAAATTACCATTATGAAGGGGGCTAAGCTCTTACCCCTCCATCTCCAAGTGCTCTCAGGAGGCTTGGCTCTCCAGTCCCATCTCACAGCTGTGAGCAGGTTGATACCCTCAGGGTTGTACTCTGAAAACAGCATCAGAGGACCAATTTCCAGCAGTGCTCTGTCCCCTCAGGTTGACCTCCCCACCCCCGAATACTGCACACATAAGGCTGGCAGAGTTTGTCTCCATCCCTCCCAAAGGGCTTTCCCCCAGAAGCAGGCACCAGACCCACTCAACTCTCCTCTTCATTCTTCATGAGGTCTCCTGTCTGCTCAGTGTAGTGGGTTCCACCACCAGTCCTTGTGCCCTCCCCCTGTTTTGCACGGGGAACAGTTCCTTCCCGTGCATGGATTTTCTGGTGCCTCCTCAAGTACTTCTTCAGCCGGTAGCGCTTCCCACAGACCCCACACTTGTAGGCCCCACCTCGGGAATGGAGCAGCTGGTGTTTAATAAGATGGCGCTTCTGAGGGAAGCATTTCCCACACTTGGTGCACTTGCAAGGCCCCATGCGGATGTGGATTGTTTGGTGCCGGAAGAGGTTGGCCTTCTGGTTGAAGGTCTTCTCGCACTCAGGGCACTGGTAGGGCTCCTCCTTGGTGTGAATCTTCTGATGCCGAACCAGGTTTGACCGCTGGGTGAAGCTCTTCCCACACTCGGTGCATTTGAAGGGCTCGCTGACGTGGACTCGTTGGTGGCGGATCAGCTTGCGGTTCATCCGGAAGCTCTCCCCGCACTCGCTGCACTTGTACGGCCCCTCGCTTGTGTGAATCTTCCTGTGTCTGGTCAGGTTGGATTTCTGATTGAAACTCTTCCCACACTCGGGGCAGGGGAAGATCCGTCCACCCTTGGGAGTTCCTTTTGCTGAGGGATCTTTCTTGGACATGGATTTCTCCTGGTTCTCCAGAATCCCCTCTTTGGTGGGCTGATAGCATTTCTTCTGCTTACTCTTTGGGCTCTGGCTCTCCTCGTGGTTGACCTCAATACCAGATTCCTCTTTAATTTGAATCCTCTGGATAGCACTGAGGTTTGGCTTCTGCCCATAATACATCCCAAATTCAATGCTTTCTTGTGGTTCTTCCTTCATATGAAGCACCCGGTTACTGGCTATGGGGATTTCCTGTTCATACTGCCCATCAGCATCTTCTTCCTTTTTAACCTGTCTCCCCTGGCCCATCAGTGGCATCTTTGGATCAAAGAGCTTTCCATAATCTGGGTTTTCTGGTGGCTCTTCCTTGATGTAAAGTTTCTGGCAGGCTATTGCAGTAATGTTTGCTGTGTCATCAGTGAGTGGATCTGGTTCCTCCTTCATCTGGATTTTCCAAGGAGGGTTATTGGGATTAGATGGGTTTCTAGGTATGCTACACCCCTGGGCCACATCTCCTTCATGGGACATATTGTCCAACATATTCTCCTCTGACATGAAAGCAAAATCAGGCTCTGCTTTAAGCTGGATGACCTGGAAAGACACACCGTTGGTGTGTCCCTCAAGTAGCTTTTGCTTAGCATGGTTCCTCTGGTGGACATTGAAATACCGCTTGGTGCTCAAGCTCTTCCCACACTCTGTACAAATGAAAGGTCCCCCACGGAGGTGTATCTTCTGGTGGGCCAGCAGCATGGCGCTTTGCCCAAAGCACCTACTGCAGTCAGGGCATTTGAAGGGCTTCTCTCGCTTGTGGATCTCCTTGTGGGCCGTGAGCGTCCCCTTCTTCACAAAGCTCTTCCCGCACTCGGTGCAGGCGAATGGCCTCTTCTCCGTGTGGGTCCGCATGTGGATGTTGAAGTAGATCTTTGTGCTCAGGCTTTTGCCGCAGCGGGCGCAGAGGTAGGGACCACCCTTAGCGTGTGTCTTCTGGTGGGCGGCCAGGCATATCTCCAGGCGGAAGCAGCGCCCACACTCCCCACAGCAGAAAGGCCTCTCTCCTGTGTGGATGCTCTGGTGGGTTGTGAGGTGGCCCCGGGTGGTGAAGCGTCTCCCACACTCCCCGCAAGTGAAGAGCTCCTCTGCTGTGTGGATCCGCTGGTGTCTCCTCAGGTTTCCCTTCTTGCTGAAGGATTTGCCACACTCCTGACACGGGTGGGTCTTCAGCGCCACGTGCTTAACCAAGTCCTTCATGGTGGCAGCACCCTACACCCAGTGGTTTGTGGTGGGACTGCCAAGCAGCCAGCAGGTACCAAAAAAGCCACAATGTTATGGGGATGGACTGTCTGGGAAGACACAAAACCCATCAGGACACACACATCAAAGTGTACTTCAGTGGATGCACTTTATTCCCCATAAGGGAAAAGGTGCAGCTGCTGTACGCCAGCTCTGGGCCAACATGCAGTGTGTGGTCTTCCTCATTTCTCAGCCTCCTTCCACCTCAGCTTGCGGACACGATGTTTGTAAAACTCCATCTCCTGCCTCCTGAGCTGGAATTCCTGGAGAATTGGATTGCTGGACTGAAAAAAAAAAAAAAAGGAAATTTATTAAGTCATTATTTCTTCTCCACCTTCCGCGTTCGCTATGTAAACACAACGGGTGGCACTTTGGCTGCTCCGTGGGAGACTGAACCTGAGACCTTTGAAGCCACAGGCTCATCTGGACTCCAACAGAGAGAGCAGGAACAGGCTAATTACCCCCGGCGGTGGGGGGACCTGTGACACGCTCACCGCTGCAATGACATGGAGGTTTCAGCTTTGCTGTTGCTGCACTAGTGATCTACTCTCAGAATACTCCTCTGTCCTTGACCAAGAGGATTTATAAGAAGTAAATAAGTTAATCAATCAATGCACTTTGCCGTAATTGTTGTAATTAGACCCATTTTTGAAGAGTGACTGTGCCGCAACCAAAATCCCCCAAACCTAGAAGAAAAACAAGCTGGTTTCTGCGTCCCATTTGCAAACTGGGATGTGTTGGTTTGTACTGGCAGACCTCCATGCACAGGGGAAGTGGTGTCCTCAGTGGGCAGCGGGAAAAGTGAGATGCAGAAACCTAAAGTGACTTTGTTCTCCTCAAAAGGGTTCAATTCAGAGCCAGGTCTGGGTCCTGTGTATTTCCCTTAGAAAAACAAACACAGGACACGGGGGAACCACAGAAAAATAAAAACAAAAATAAACCCAAACCCCACAGCTGCCTGCAAAATCATACCAGCCCAGGAGAGAGAAAACACACCCAGTTGGAGCAGGGTTTAGTGTTTGTTAGTGGAGGGGAGACTCCAGGGGGTGAGGGACAGACTGTGTCCCTGCATGGGGGGAGCACCTTTGTGATACCTACACCAGGTTTTAATTCAGCAGCCAAAGCCTCAGCATCAGCCAGGCTGGAAAGAGGACTCAAAAAAAGTTGAAAATAATATATTTTTACCGAGGAAGGTGATTAACCCCCAGAGCAGGTAGCAGATTTAGCCTCCTGCAGCCAAGGACCCTCCTGTCGGGTCTGGCTGATGCTGAGGGGATGCGGCTGGAGCAGGGTCCAGGTCCCTGCGTGTCCACGGCCTCTCTCCTCACCACGGATGCTCACACTGGTCCCTTAGAGGAAACAACTTGCCAGCAGCAGTGCTTTGATTCCCACTGGGTTTTGGCAAAAAGGAACAGATTCCTCAATTCAGATCCAGGTAAAAGAAATTCCTACTGTCCTCCTCTATTTTATTTTTATTTTTTTTTAATTTTTTTTTTTCAGTATCCAGATCCTACAGACCCAAATCCTGCCTTTACTCCCAGCTCCGCAAGGCAGGTTTGAATCAAGGGCAGGAGCAGATCCCAGGGAGCCCCTTGGTTTTTAATTTGGGCTAACGCGGAGGAACGAAGGGCGGTTGGGCGAAAGCGTCTTACCTGAGCCGACCATCAATCTCCGGCTGGCATCTCTCTCCTGGGGAGCAGCCTCAGCACCACACAACAGTCTTGGCCACTTGGCTGCAAGTTGTGTTGCAGCTGCAGCTGGGGCTGACCGAAAGGAAGTCTGGAGAGCTACCGGAGGAAGGGTGAAGCCAAATGAAGACAAAGAGCAAAGGTTGGAGGAGCCCGGGGGAAGGACGGGGGGGAGATGCTCTCCACTCGCCCCAACGGGGGGGATTTTTCTCGCCACCGCCGAGATGTTGGCGAGAGCCCGGGGAGGGAGAGGAGGGGAATTTCTCCCCGATGTGTCTTTTCTTTTGCACCGCTATATTGGTGAGAAGCTGGAAGGGTCCCCGGCTCGCACTGCCTTCTGGGAATTGTAGTTCTTCCCAGCAGCACTGGTCCCCCAGCCTGCCCTCTCTGCCCTGGCAGCCAGTGGCTATTTCTCTTACCCTAAGCAGCACTGGTCCCCCAGCCTGCCCTCTCTTCCCCGGCAGCCGGTGGGTCAGGATCAGGCCATTTCTCTCTTACCCTAGCTGAGAGGATTTGCTTTTTTTTTTTTTTTTTTTATTGTTGGGGGAAGGAAAACATCCCGCAGTGCTGCAAGCATCCTTCTTACCTCCTAGGCTGAGTGTCTGGGACTTGCTCTGGGAAGCATCAGGAGAGGAAAGATGCATTTCAGGGAATATTTCTGTGTCCCCAGCAGCTTGCAGTCCTCCTGGGGTGAGGTAGCAACTGAGGTTTGTGCCTAATTACCAGCAAAGGATCCCTTCTAATGCTCAGTGAAAGCAGAAAAAGCATGTGCAGGGTTGACAAGGGTGGATGCTGAAGCACATGCACTAGATTTAGCAGAGTGATGACCACCACCTGGGAGAGGCTGAGCCCCAGCAGGAACTCACAGAAAGCACCCAGACCTTCTGGATGTGTCCTGCAGAATGAGGCTTAGAGACTCAGCAGGGAGCTCTAGCCCAGGATGCTTCTCTGGGATGGTTTGGGGAGCATGTGCATGACGAAAGGCTGCTTCAGCATCCCCAGGGCAGTGATTCGGGGCTGTCCCATATCTCTGAGGTTGGATAATAACATTCAGTCCTGCATAAGCCAGCACCTCCAAGCTTGTCCTGAATGTGAAAACAAGGCTGCAAACGTGCTATTCCCCTCTTCTTTGATTCAGGGAAACTGAGGCAGGAAGTGGTGAGGTGCCTGGCTCAGATCACAAAAAGAAATTCAAGGTTACAGGGTCCCTGGATTTCAGACAGTCTACACACTGTATGTGACTTGGTTAAAATCAGCTGATGAATTTCCTGCTCCAGTACAAACCAGCATTGTGAGTCAGCATCACCAGTATGAAGGTGCCTATATGCCAGCCTGTATCCCAGTCCAGGGAAGAAAGAAGTTATGGATCTAACCATCTTTATACCAGTACATGCACAGCAGAGGACACACAAGTTTGCCTTTCTGAAGGTCTTTGATGCATAAAAATTCCACAGCAGGTCCCAGACAGACAGGAGAGACCACTATGACAGGCTGCAGTAGACCCCAGGTATGCTAAACAAGATTCCTCATGTACAGGATTCCTTAGACAACACGCCCCTCTGTTCCATCCTTCTAATTTCTGTACTACCTTCCAAAAATCCTGCCTGGGACTCAACACTTTGGATGGTGCCAGACAGCAGCTCCATCAACTGTCCCTCTTTTGGTGTGTGACACCACAGAGGAAGAGAAGCTAAGATGGGACATGGATGAGAGGCTCACCCGGAACATTTGGGGGGAGTATTTGTGTGACTCCTTTGCTGCCAGAGAGACCTGGAGGAAAGAGCCAAGATTATGCCATTTCAATGGTGGTAGTGTCCATTTGTCCACTGAAGTACAATTTATCTTATTCTAAAGGCAACTTGTGCCCTCAAAGCTCCTGTTTCTCTCCATTGACACCTGCATTTTCCCAGGTGAGTCCCCCCAAAGTCCATCCTGTCCTTGTGGCAGATCTGCGTGCCGTCCCCTCAGGATCATACAAAGCCCCAAAGTCCAGGAAAAGAAGAGGCTGAATATACCTTGGTACGACATCAAGGTTTTGCTCATGTGGTCAGAATAGAGAACCTCGTGCTCATCCCCAAAAGCCCTCCATAGACAAGTCATCAGTGCAGGGTTAGACTAACTATATCCAAAAATGCCTCTTCCTAAGCCCAATTTGGAAGCAGTGACCTCTCAGTCTGAGTCTCTGCTATCCCTGGGAGACTCATTTTGGAGCTGAAGATATGCCATCAGCTGCAGTGACTCTGCCTCTCCAACGTACCACTAGATGCCAGTGAAAGCTCTTCCCAGCCTGCTCCTGCTTCAAAAATCTCACACTTTGAGTTGTTTTATTGTATTTTTTAAAAGGTAATTCTTCACTTTTGATCTAATAAGGCCTCCTTGCATCTGGGAATTTGGGTAGTATGTATGAATTTATGCGTGAATGTGTTTTGTGTATTTCCTCTCTCTTTGTTTCTCTTTCTCAAAGATATATATTTGTCTTTGTTTGCTATTATTTAGATGAGAACTTCTTCCCAGTGTCTCCCCAGACAAGGATCTCATCACTATGCTCCTCTCCTCATCCCCCTTCCTATCAAACATACCCCAGCTCCCCAAACCCTTCACCTGCCAAGTCCTCTAGCCACCCCATCATGATCTGATGTCTTGACATGGACAGTCAGTCCAAGAAAATACAGGGGCTAGCATGACATGTTCAAGCTCTCTTCTGCTCTGTGAGATGTTTCTTCATATCAGGTGACCAAGAGGCAATACAAAGGTCCAGCTTACCCAACTATAGGAATGACAGCCTGGAGGAACAGACCCACATGGAGCTGGGGAGGGGATCATGGGGCAGAGGCAAGTCAGTGCAGTGGTGCTGATAACCAGCTTGCACATGTTTGGTATCTAGTGGGAATATGAAATTAATGAAATGTGCAGACACTGAAATACTGGGGAAGAAACCCTATGTGGGGAAGGAGTAAAAAATAATTAAAGCTCATTGTTCTGTACACCAGCAAGTTCTATGCTGCCTTTCCCTGGTACAGAGGTCAGTATAGGACTGAAACAATCTCAGATTTTATCTTTTGCTGCCTGGAGTTCTGCACTTTGCAGAACATAATCTGTCCCATGATACCCACTGATGCTTTCACAAGGTCTAAGCCTTTGGCAGCCTCCAGGCTTTGCACACACCATTTTTTTCATCTGGCTGGTCAAGGTCCAAGGAAATTGGACTACCCTATGGGTGCTCAGAGTGAACACAAAGCTTAGCAGCTACCCAGGCTGCAGAAGGGATGTGTGTCTGTGCCTCTGTGAGTGTTGGGGTGTGTGTCCTTCAGGTGCTGGGCACAGCCACCATCTCACGGCAGAGGACCACCAGGGTTAGGAACATCTTCCCCCCTGGGCAAGTTGTGTTTTGGTATTGCATTCTCCTTCAGTGCCTGGTGCACCTCTTGCTCTCTGACATGCCCGAGGCTCGTTGCCATTGGAGACAAGATGTTAGCCTTGATGGAGTAAAGTTCTGATCCAGTTTGGTGATTTCTGTGTTGTTTTTCAGACAAATCCAACTCTGTGTTTGACTGGC